ATCCCATACCACCAACCAACAGAAAATGCATCCCCAGAAAGCCCTAGCAGCAGATCCAAGCTTGGTAGTTTCCCCCCGCTGTTGCCATATGATCCTCAGTGGAGCAGCAGCCAAGCCTGGGGAACCTGCTTCCAAAGCGATGCTGCAAAAAGAAGGAGGGGGGATGTTTAACCCAGACCTTGCAGAGGGTAGCAAGTTGGCTGTCCTATGGAAGGACAACAGCATCCTCACTAGAGAGGTGGTTGCCTGCCGGGGGACACCTGGGAAGCACAGATGCCTCCTCCAAGATTTAGCTGCTTGCCAATAGCATTCCTTCTTAGAAAGGAGACAGGGCTGGGGGAAACACTGTGGTTTGCAGCTCCCCACTGGAGCGCCCCGGGACCGTTGCCCAGCTCCCTGCACCCCCACCACGTCCCACACCTCCTGCCCAGTACCCCGGGCACCCTCCAGACAAAGCGCCCACCTATTTGCCTGTCCATCCACCTGTGCAGAGCCTGCTGCGCTCCCAGACCCTTCCCCACCGTGGTGCTGACCCTCGCCCCACGCTGAATGAGCTCGCAGGCATTAGCCATGTATTTCTACGTGCACTACAGAGCATGTAATTTAAGTCTCTCATAAAAATCATCACTGCCTCAATTATTCAGCACGCTTGCCCTACTGCCCAAGCTCACTTGCTGATGTTTCCATGCTGTTGAGATATCAAATTGTTTGTTGTATAATTGGCATTGGTTGCCAAGACCCAGATCCTACTTCATAACACATGTATGCCTGTATTCCTACCACCTTGTTTATACATGATGGATTTTATGCATGTGCAGATGCCAGTACACAATACAGCTGCTTCGTAGATGGCCTGTAACATGAATTTCTGAGGCCAGCGCATGATTCAATGCAGTTTGGCAGCTCCACTTGCAGTAACCTGCTTGTGCAGACCCTTGAACGATGCCGAGATGCGTACCTGTGCTTACACGATGCCCTGCGCTGGGTCTGCAGGCAGGATGGTGATGCCAGACCGGCACATGCCCACGAGCACCCAAATTGGGTGCTGGCTGCCAGCCCAAGTGGGGTGCCCTGCCTGCTGTCGTCCAAGGGGAGAGCTGGCAGCAGGATGGCCCCGAGACTGAGGGGCTCCCACCCCAGGTTGGGGACAGGTCCCAGAGGCGGGGATCTCCATCCTTGGGGGTTGGAGGAAGGGTGATGTCAGGCCAACACAACTTCATGCCAGCAGCAACACTCCCGTCTCCTCGCCCACCAGCAGGGACCCCTCCTGGGGCCAGGGCGGAGGAAGGGCTGGCTCCGGCTCCCCCTCGTCCTCTGCCTGAGCTCACACCCCCAGGCTGAGCAGCTGTGGGCAGGGGGCTGCATGGTGCCACCCATGGCAAAGTGTCCCACATGGGTCACGGTGGGCAGGCAGGACCAGAAGCCAAAGTGCAGGACTCCCTTGGGGGCAGTCTCAGCAGTGTCCAACTGCGAAGCAGGTCGTGAACCAACCTGCTCAGTGACCAACGCAAGGCCGATTTTTAAATCATGAGGATCTAGGGAAGTCCTGGTCCAAGCCCAATGCCTGCACCAGGCAGATCTGCACAAACCACCCTAAAGAGCAGAAACAGTGGATGCATGGAATAACACAACCTATGGGAAGACAGGAGACACAGGGGACACAGCTACTGGAATTCTGTACGTGTGGGCAAGGGAGATCAACTGACAGTGGCTGCTTGGGTGTCAATAGGCATTCAACAGGGTTACCCACCAGCAGGTCTAAGGATGCCAAGGTGCAGCAGGATAAGGGGGAAGGTCTTTGCAGGGGTAAATCGCTGGTTACAAAGGTAGGGAATGGTGGGTATGAGCAACAGGCAGTTTTCATCAGGGAGCCCCACAGGGATCAGTGATGGCAACTGCATTCTTCAACACAGTCATAAATGATCTGGAGAAGGAGAGTGCAGCGAGGTGGCACGGTTTGTTGCTGACGCTCACATCAAGGAAGCAAAGACAAGGCTGAATACAAAGAACTGCAGAAAGATTTTCCAAGGCTGACTGAGGGGGGCCCGAAAAAAAGAGGCAGATGAAATGCAGTGTAGGCAATTGCAGAGCGATACACTGGAAGAACCCAGTCCTGCAGCCCTGGACTGGCCGTTACCACTCAGCTGTGAGGCCTTGGCACTGTGACAGACTGAGCTGACCTTTTGTGGAACTGTGTCAAGGATAGGTCAAAAAAATAAAAAAAGCGAAGTTAACGTTGGGAATTAGGAGGAGGGAAAATTGGAAGCAAGATCCAGCAAGGGTTATTAGGTACAAGAACAACATCTCTGGCTCAAAAAATCCCAAGACACAGACTGTGGGAGGTTGGAAAAATGTGTGACAAAGCATTGCTTGAACTGGTTTGCCACTTCTATTAGGCTGGTCACCATCAGCAACAGCATCTAGGGCTCACCCCAGGTCCTTGTGGCATCCCCTGCATGGCTGAAGCAGCCTGCATTGCAAACTAAGCAATGCAGAGCATCCCAAGTGTTCACTTGGAGCCCACCACCAACATCAGGCATTGCGGGCAGGGCAATTGGTTTAATTGGTATAAACAAGGTGGTAGGAATACAGGCATACACGTGTTATGAAGTAGGAGCTGCGTCTTGGCAACCAATGCCAAACCCCCTAAAGCAGCACAAGCTCTACCTTTACACAGAGGACCAAAAGGCAGGTGGAGGAACATCAACAGCTTTGTAAGAGTTAAGTGCTCTTCCCATAGTAATACCTCCCTGCTCCCAAACCACCAACAAATGGATTTATAAGACAGGTGGCGGTTGTTTTACTGAGGAAAGTGGAAGGTGTTTAGATTAACCTTCACATTGGTGAACAGTGATTAAACATATCCAGGACAGCTGTAAACGCACTCAGATTAAACGTATCCAAAATAGCTGTAAACATAGTCACGTCCCCTTGGCCTGGTGCACAAACACTGCTTCCAGCAAGGAGCTGCTGGCCGCATCTCCGGGCTGTGGTGCCACTGACACACTCATAAACCCATCAAACAGTGGTCAGGCTTGCAGCTCTTGCAAGCTGTGGGAGGCATTGATCCCCCCCACAGCCTCGTCCCAGTGCGGGGATCTGAGCAGCCCCCTCCTCTCTGCTGAGCCGACAGAGCCTGCGGAGAGTGGAGGGTCAGGAGCAGCAGCATCCCCCAAGGAAGCAGCTTTCCTTCTTGCCTCCCCACTCACACATGTTGGTCTCTATCCCACAATAACTCAAACAGTGCCTGGTAGAGTGAGACAAACCACACATTTAAATACAGATAAGTTTTCAGCCGCGAGAACAATCTGTCCTCATGGCCCCTTCTGCCGTCTGTCTGTCCATCCTCCCAGGCTGGCTGAGCGTGGGACAAAGGGGTGCATGCACCGGGGCGGTTCTCTCTGCCTCCATCTCCTTCCCCTGGGAGGATATCCTGGCATCATCTGCCTTCACCTACCCGGACCCTGACATTTGTTCCCTTCCCAGCAGCTTCCTGTTTGGGATATTCCTTTGTCTCAGCTTCCTCTCCTACTTGTGCCACTGAAACCAAGGCGACTGTCCCGGGAGCATCAAGCAAACAAGCTGTCGCACGCCACGCTTTGTGGGGTCAACATCCTCCACAGCAAACTACATCCCACGTACTTGTCAAGCAGACCTGCTGGCTCGCCGTGCCAGGCAGCAAACCCACTATGGCAGCCTCAATGCCACCACAGACCCCACCACACAGCTGTGGTTCCCACCAGCCACACTGACATCTTGCTGCCTGTCTCCCAGGCCACAGCTCACTCAGTTGCAAAGAGAACCTGCTCTAGATTAAACCACAGAAATCCTCACTTTATGAACACTGAGCACGAGGTCTGGATCCCACCACCGCAGCTACCCACCCTTATCACTCTGGGGCAGCACAGCAGCCCCTTTGGTACCATCAGGGACAATTGCGGCTCCCCACACGGGCAGGGATGATGAGCCACACCAAGCAGATACAGGTGGGCCTGTACAATAATGGGAGCACTTCATGTATAAATCACAGTGAGTTCAAACAGGGTCACCAACACACCCCGTCCGGCACAAAACACCGATCGTTAAAGCAGAGAGAAACCCTTAGATTATATTTTTATGCATCCTACTTGAAATCAAGTGATCTGGAAAATCCCAGAGCATTCGGATGCAAAGGTCTAAATCTTAATGATGCTCCTGGCAAGGCTCTGTGTTTTGTTTGCGCTATTTAACAGCTTCTTCATAAGGAATCAGTTGACTTGGTTAAGGAAAAAAGCCACCACAAAAATCCTCACCCTGCTGTTCAGCTGATAGAGCTCCATCAGCGACATTGCTCTTGACGCCAGTCCCAGTTTGGGTTGCTGGAGCTCCTGCACCCAGCAAGGCATCTGGACCGGGTGGAGAGAAACCACAGAGCCGCATGCTGTGACTCCAGCTGCTCGGGCGCCAGGAAGGGACTGCCCTCAGGGAACTGAAGGCAACCATTTATTTTTGCATGTTTTTGGAAACACTTCCTTTAGCATATAATGCATTTTTCTTCCATCCGTATATCTTATCGCCCTCAAATATTTAGGTTTTTTACCACAAGTCTAACTTTGTTACATAAATTTGTGCTTAGGAACTGTAACCTATTTCAACATGTTTTTTTCTTCTTTTTTTTCGTGGATGGAGGCAATGCTTTTTAACACACTCTGAGTGAGAAGCCCAGCCCTGACAACTGATATGCGGCAGAACCGGTGGCTTGCCCAGCACTGTTCACATGCCCTCCCTTCGCCACTGCCTGCGACGCACGGGAGACATCCCAGCAGCCTCAAGAAACCAGAGGAGCTGGGATTTGCATGTCAGGCATCTGCCTCTGGCGATGGCTGAGCTGCTGGTGTGCCAGGCCAGGTCCCCAGGTGTCACCCCACCTCAGCGCTGCTTCCACCCTGGATCGCAGCTCCCGGGGGGGGGGGCAACACTGCCTTTCACAGAGAAAATGGCTGAACAGGATTAAATTGCTCATCAAAATGAAAACACAAAGCCAGGTTTAATGTCTCACACTGAAGCAAGCCAGGGTTTGGAGCAGAATCAGCAGATGCCTAGATAATTATCACATTGGGGAAGAGTTAGGATTGCAGGGCATTATTTTCCCTTGCAAAGAAACGGTAAGGGAAGATAAGGGTGATCCAATTAACCAGGCTTTATGTGGATTCCAAATGGCATGTGGCAATGCTCTTAAGCGCTTAAAGAATGCCCAAAAGCTCTTAAGGAAACTGAGCTGCCATGGGATAAGAGGTAGAGACCTCCCAGGATTAGTAACTGGTTAAAGGTCAGGAAATGAAGAGCAGGAGCAGGACTGCCTCTCTCAAGGGGGGACACTGGTGGAGCCCCTGAGGGTCTGACCTGTCCTACATCTCCCTGAGCGGTCTGGAAAAGGCCAGGACACAGCAGGGTGATGACACATCCTGGCAGGACAGACACCAAGGGCAGTGAAAGCAAAAAAAGCTCCTGCAAAAAGGCTGTGGTGAAATCCATGCTTCAGGGCAGGGACACATGGCTTTGTGCTCAGCGGCAAAGGCTTGATCAGGTGATTCACCTCGCCCTTCTCTTGTGCAACATGTGGATGAAAGGAGGAGTTGCTGGTGCCAGTCTCATCTGGTTCCAAAACTATCAAGCAGCTCAAATTCGCATGCGGTTGTATTTCCTCAGGTTCCCTGCAGCTGCTCCTGCTACATCTGCAGGAACCTATCTTGGGTTGGTTTCAGATGTACCCGTGCTGTAGATAAAGGGAAAAAGAAACAGATATGAGTGTGCAAGAGGGAGGAGTGGCAGAAGGTCACAAGTGCTGGGTCTCTGCTCTGCCAGACATGTTCAGTTCTGCCCCTGTCCCTTCTGGACTGGAAGGAGCAGGAGTCACTGTAGCTTGAACCCTTTGGAGCTCCCTGAGCACTGGGCCAGTCATGCTCCCTGCAGTGGGACTGTTGAGGACTGTCTTCATGGCTGGAGGGAGCCTGTTGTCCAGACCAGCCCCCAAGCTGAGCACTGCAGCCACCTCCCTGGCAAGCTGCCCCAGGCAGAGCACGCAGGGGCAGGGATGGAGGAAGGAAGTTCAGCGCTACTTGCTGTTCACAGGAAAAATCTGGCTTCCTTCCGGGATCTCTGTTTCCACGAGTTACTGTGCTCCCTGGGAAGCTGACCTGTACATGGTGGAGCTGGACGGGTGTCCAGGTCACAGGGAGGTGACCAGAACCCGGGCTGCAGCAAGGACAGCCACGGCCAGGATGAGTCACGGCCCGCCAGGTCCCAGACAGCCGCTCCTGTGGGCTGGCGTGTGACTCAGCTCATGGAGCAGCTGCCCCTGCTCACAGCCCATCCTGGAGACATGCGAGATTAGTGAGGGTGAGGAGTTCAGGTCTTTTTTGTGAGCTGGGAGTCACCTCCTCACCCTCAGATAGCAAATCTACAGACGCACCGCCAGATGACTCTGCAGAGTTTCAAGGCTTGACGTGCTCCTGGGGACAGACTGACCAGCGGCTGTGGTGAAGGCTGTGGATGTAGTCTACCTGGACTTCAGTAAGGCCTTTGACACCATCTCCCACAGCATTCTCCTAGAGAAGGTGGTGGCTCACGGCTTAGACAGGTGTACTCTGCGCTGGGTAAAAAACTGGCTGGACGGCTGGGCCCAGAGAGTTGTGGTGAATGGAGTTAAATCCAGTTGGCGGCCGGTCACGAGCGGTGTTCCCCAGGGCTCAGTTTTGGGGCCGGTCTTGTTCAATATCTTTATCAATGATCTGGATGAGGGGATTGAGTGCACCCTCAGTAAGTTTGCAGACGACACCAAGTTGGGCGGGAGCGTTG